AAAACTTTGAAGACTTCTGGTGTGTAGAAGTTTCTTATCTTTTACTTGAGCATCTATTGTCTATGGATGTATATACATGATTCGAGTTCCATAGTGAGTGAGTCCTGGCGAGAGCTGGGCAGGCGATCCGCCGAACCCTTTGGTACGCCTTAGGGGGAGGTGGGGTCGTCACAGGTGGTATCAGAGCTTAGGCTTCAGATCTTTGTAGTTTATCCTAGGCTGATGTTTAGGATACCAAACTGTGGGACCGGCTTGAAAGTTAAATGATTGCTTATAGCGATGTAATTTAGAGTCACTTCACGTGGTCTCTACAAAGGAGCAAGATAGGGCCAAGTGGTGTTATGGTCCTTACTATGTGATTGAGTAAAGACTTAAGTGCCCTTCTAGAAATGTAAGTTGTGAATCATGAATGTTATAAGTTGTATAACCTTTATCTTAATAATTGGAGGAAATTTGATATGTATGTTGGGTAGGAATCTCGAATGTGGTGATTTACTCTTGGGACCGGCCGGCTCGAGTTGTGAATTATCCTACTTTGGATTCTCGTGCCCGAGTACTTCAGAGTTGAGGCGATGCTAGCTACTAGGTACTTGAGACTTGTATTTTGGAACATGAACAGGCTTTGTCCGACTAAAATGAATATAAGAAATCTACGGACATCTAGTGACTAGGAAGTGACGTGAGAGACCGGACGGGGTCATCTTAGCTGAGTCTGGAAAATATTGTAACCCAAAAGATCCTTGTGGTGAGATTGAAATGATTCTTAGTACGTGATCAACTTTTGAGAACTATTTTTGATCTGATTAGTGCGAGTTGGAATTTCGAGGTCGAAATTCTTTTAAGGGGGAGAGGGTGTGAGGACCCGCAAATTTTCTACATTTTTTCCTCAAAAATGCCTTTTATTTGAAAATTATTATTTATTAAAGCTCTACTATCTAATTGTTCAACTATAAGTGCAGATGAACCTAGAAAATAGGGTTTTCCGCTTCGGTTTCATGACTTGAGCAAAATTAGGGTTTTTCGATTTTTCCGCCGGATGAATTTTCGGTACTGGCCGAGGATCAATTTGATGATTAAAAGTGACTTTTAAATGAGAAATAATATGTGAGTAGTAGCCATGAGATAAGGTTAGTAAATGGAAAGTAAAAACCCTAGTACGTGAGTTTTAAGAAAAACGGCGCGAACCGGCGGGTCCCGCGCACTACCGATTGAACCACCACTTGATCACCACTTTCTTGCCATACAAGTTTATCATTAATGGAGCAAAATATCTTCCCCCTCTTAGCCCTCCTATTGGCCGAAAATTAGAGGTTAGAAATGCAACAAGAGAGAGAAAAATTTGTGGTCAAGATTAGTCCAAGTGTTAGCCAAACTTGTGGCTAGAATTAATCCTTAGCTTTCCAACCTTCTTATAACACAAGCTTAGCTTAATTTCCTTCATTAATTCTGCATCTTGGCGAAATAAGAGAGAGAGAGAGAGACAAAGAGAGTTCATCTCATTCTCCTTCATTTCTTCTCCAAATCTTGAAAAGTTTCTTCTATTCGCGCAAATCTACTCCGATTAAGTTGTTATCTAGCACAAAGGCTACCTACCGGTGTAATTTTCTTGAGGAACAAAGGCCTTGAACACTTGTTTCTAGTCTCCTTGGAAAGGTATACATGCTGGAACCTTGACTCTCCGATTAAATTCACGATTAGTTGCTAAATATGTCACATATGGTTGAATTATTGAGGTATGTGGTGAAATAGAGGCTTGGGTCATGATTTTCCATTTTATTGGAATATTTTTCAGCTTTCCTATGATTTTTCTAGTGCTTAAAATTTGGGGCTTTGATGTTTAAAGTTTAATATGGGAAGTTAAGATGGTGAAGCAAGCCAAAAACAAAGAAGTTAGCAATTGATTATAAGAATTCCAGATTTCTGGAATTTCATGTTTCACTTCTGTCCGGTTTTGTAGCCTTATCTTAGAGGCCGAATTGGCCTTAGGTCAAAGAAGGAAAGTTGTAGAGAATGGTGTTTTATAGGTGTCTATAAAATTTCAGCTCAATCGGAGCAACGTAGGATGTGAAAAGTCCAAAATACCCTCACTGTTTTAAAAATTTCCCAGCAGTCCGTTTCATCAGTTAAGTCCAGTTTATCACGTTTTTTGACTAGTATTCATTCTGATTTAGCTTTTTGCCAAAACATGAAAGTTGTAGTATTCTGAATTATCTTTCAAATGCCTCTAAGAAAACCTGATTCGGACTTGTGTACTCTGAGATATGTCCATTACAGTGTAATGCATTTAAACAGCCGACGAATTGATTTCTGGTTTAGTAATTTGAGAATTTGACCAAGTTACATTAGAAACTGGACTAAGTGACCTTCATGAACATTGTAGCCCTGTGTCTTAGCTTCGAAACGGCATAAGTTGCGTCTTAATCCGATAAGCGTAGCCTCGGATAAGTTATTTCCGCTTTCATACGTCAAATCTGTCTTTTGCTAAATTGAATTTCTGCACTTGTTATTTCTGTATTTCTTATTCTTATGATATTGTGAGCCTATGGAACGGCTCTTGACTTGAATTGCTTATGTGTGATGTTGGGTTGTGGTTGAGGAAAAATAATGAAGCCAAAATGGCTGGAAAATTAGGTAAACACAAAGGGCATGCTGCCCAAATTTTCGCCCGAAAGCTAAGGTTTATTTGAACTTGTAAAATACTATGACCGTTTTTCCATCTTAAAAACATGATCCTTCTTCAATTGGAAACTCCAAATGTTTACTTACTCTTACCAAATAAAGAGGAGTAGTTTAGGATTTTCTTGAGTATTTTGTCCTCTCTTTTTCATGAATTTCATTAAGACAATTAGTCTATAATATCTACTTGAATATAAGATAAGTTTCAACCACATAAACGATTCCGAAAATGGTATTTCCTAGTCTATCTAGTTGGATTTTGATTTGTCTTTAGTTCAAGTGTTTCCATTAGAAAATTTTATAACCCTTTTGAGTTGGTTTTATGTGTGGTCTATGAAACCCTAGTTATTTTTATCCACGAGTCCAAATGTCCACGTTCCACTTTAAAGTCTTTTTATACGTTCTACTCATCATGCGACGAGTCTCTTTGATTGCACCTAATTGGTTGTGACAAATGAGTGGTAATATTCTTTTCATTTAATCTTAGGTTTTCTCGGTGACTAAAGATAATATCCGGAAGGATATTTTGCACGTTGTTGTGCGTAAATAGGTGAGTGTTCTATATACGTTTTGTTCCTATGACTATGTGGATTGTTGGATCTATGTGGTTATTTGTGACTATTTGATTACATGTTACTTGTTTTCTATGATTTTTAAAATGAACTTTTGCTAGGTGAGTGTGTACTTTATCGCACTCGACCTAAATAAATATGAAATTTTCGGTGATTAAATGTTGAAATACTAGTTGCGCATGAATGTAAGCCTTTTGGCTGAACTGGGCCCTTGCCCTTGTTACCGGTCGTCTCGAGCCAGAAGCGGACTCGGTCGAGCGATTAGGAACCTGGGTGAATTTGGTATACTCGAGTATTACCTTGTAGACCGGCCATGTCCGGGTAGGTGGAGTCCGGCCAACGTCCGGATGGGTGGAGTCCGGCCAACGTCCGGAAAGGGATGAATGAACGAACGCAGGCACGAGGGTTTTACTTCTCAAAAAGGAAATTTTCAAATAATTGGAGGAATAAGGGGAAATGTCAGGGGAACGAACGAACGAACAAAGAGCTCCTTGGGAGCCCGTATCCTTTTAATGAATGCATTATCATTGCTTTATATTGGACATGTTTTCTGGATTAATTGTTATTACATGACTACTGTTCCTTGTTTAATTACTTGTTTATATATATAGAACCTCACTGGGCTTTTTAGCTCATACCACGTCAATTGTTTTCCTTAGCAGGGGAAGGCGAGCAAGGACGAGCGTTCGGTATAGTCTAGTTGATCTAGTTCTTTGGCCTTGTAATGGTTCTCGCCCTAGTGCTTGGCACGGGCTGGTTGTATGAGGAATGAGAACCCTTGTATATTCGATGGTTGTACTTGAATGGTAAAAACTTTGAAGACTTCTGGTGTGTAGAAGTTTCTTATCTTTTACTTGAGCATCTATTGTCTATGGATGTATATACATGATTCGAGTTCCATAGTGAGTGAGTCCTGGCGAGAGCTGGGCAGGCGATCCGCCGAACCCTTTGGTACGCCTTGGGGGAGGTGGGTCGTCACAGTGTGCATCCTCTTGGAGTTCTTGAAACTCACTTGGGAGTTCTTGACGGATTTTGGAATCTTGATTGATAGCCGAATCAAATCTGGAATTTGTTTTCGGCCAAGTGGTGTGTTGTTTCTCATAAAGGCAAAAAAAAGAGAAATGAAAGAGGCAAGAAAAGAAAAAGCCTTCGGTTGGCAAGGAAATTAAACAAGGAAGAAGGGACGAGTCCTTTGAGTATTTTCATTTAGCAAGTAAAAAGGTAGTTTAGGGTTCTTGAAAAATTTGTTACACGAATAACAAATGAAGGGAGGTAAGCGATATTTTTAAAACCTTAGGGCATTAGGTGATATTAAGAGAAACCTCAGGGGGTGTTTCTGATGTTATCCCTTATAAATATACATATAAAACTCTTTTTTGATTACCATTTGCAGCCTTTAGTTTTTGCACTTTTGCAGACGTTTCTCGATATTGTTCAAGTTGCTGCTTATAAAATTTTAGATCCGTTAATATGCATTTTATTGTTATCTTTTATTTACAAAATCTCATTTATTGTGTTTGTAGATTGATTGTTTCACCCCATGTGTAAGATGTGTCACTGAAATTTTTTTTAAAAAAAGCTTTATTAGTATATTTAAATATGTATTTTTTAATATATATACACATATATATAATTAAAATATATACAGCGTCATTATTACGTCATTCGGTTGACCATTGACTCTCGATTCGATCAAACTCTATATAAGCGGGTACCGCCCAATTACCGTCCCAATTCTTTATTATACCTGGCGACAACATTTCTCCGGTTAAACTTAAGCAAAGGTTTGGCCGTTTGAGTTCTACAAAGACAGTGCTGCTCTCCAATTTACGACTGTTAGAGTTCATTGAGTCGAAGTTCGCACAGAGAAATTGCAAGAGAATGCTAAGCCTGTGTCCCAACTTCTCTCCGACAGCAGCGGCAGCAATTGTAGTCAGCTCCTGCAAACTCGATTCTGCTGCTTCAGCAGCCGCTCTTATTCCTCAGAGAACTAGAAATTCGTTATTTGGCTGCTCTCATATGCATCCCACGAATTCTTCCTCTTGTTCTTCTTGGATGCTGAGGCAGCGTCATACTCCTATAGTCATGGCTTCTGGAACTTCTCTTGATTCTCAAGATACTTCTTCCGCCAGGTAGCTACCCTTTCTTCTATCTCACTCTTGTGGGTATTTTTTTCATATACATGTTTTGCTGACGTTATTAGGAATACGTGGGCTTTGAATGCATTGTTTGGATTTAGGATTTGAGTTGTTATTCATGTTCTGAACATGCCGATGTATGATTGATGGTGGGATATTCAACTTCTTGAATGGCTTTCCGCAATAGTATGTGAACGGATATGTGTATATATAGTGTATAGGTGAATAAAGGCGGGAACTTTTGTTCTAGAATTTTAGGTCAAAATTTTTCAAGTTATGCTATTATGGAACATTCTTGAAACGCGTACATTGCTGTAGTTCATAGTTTTACATGTTTACATGTTGAAGAATTTCCAATTCTGATAGTTCATAGAGGCTGTGGTTGATTTGGATGGTATTTTTGTGTAGGGGTGATAAAAGACCAGTTCATGGATTGTCTGAAGTGGTTGTTGGCGTTTTGGGGGGAGGGCAGCTGGGCCGTATGCTTTGTCAAGCAGCATCTCAATTGGCAATCAAGGTAATTGTTTTGGACCCGATGGAGAATTGTCCGGCAAGTTCACTCTCTCATTACCACATGGTTGGAAATTATGATGATAGTGCCACAGTTCAAGAATTTGCAAAAAGGTAGGCTTTTTAAGGACACTGACGAGGTTTCTGAAACATATGTTTAGGTTTAGTTATATTAGTCCACATGAAGTTACTGAAGTCATATTAACATACATTTGTTACTGAAGTTAGTCTTTTACGTAGTTAGGTGTGGAGTGTTGACAGTAGAAATTGAGCATGTTGATGCTGCCACTCTAGAGAAGCTTGAACAACAAGGTGTGGATTGCCAGCCTAAGGCGTCCACTATAAGAATTATTCAGGTTTGGCCCATAATCTTGATAGAAGCATACATTCTTCATAAGCCATATTGTGTTGTTTACGTAATGCTAGGAAGTAATGTGGGATACCTTCTAGTTAACAGTCACACCATTCATGACATATCCATGGTATTAAGAGATTGCTCTTTATTTGCCATATCGACATCTTGCAATTTGACATGCTTGCAGCTGACCATTTAGAACAGAAATATGCCATTTGCTTTTGGGAAATCAAAACTTGTGTACGAGTGTCACCATTATGACACATAAATAGTTGCTAACAAATTGCTTCATCAACATCTGTAGTCGTCTGATACTACAGCAACAAGCAATATTGTTGCTGTTACCCTTGAATGATATCGATCTCGTATTTTTTTAATTTAGCTTCTAGCAATTAATTTTTATCGTGATGTGAGACTGTCGTGGTATTTTCCTAATAAATGTTAAATCGCTTTAGATTGTTGCAGTTTGTTTTCATTCTATAGATCATTCATACCAACAACAGCTGTAGAAAAACCAAAAAGGGGCATTGTGCATATGTTAATTTGATTTTCAGATAGCTGAAATCTTCATCATCCATGTCTTTTACGCCATACTTAATATACTATGTTTCTTTCTTACTCTTGCTGCTTCGGCTTCATCATTTATGAGACAATTTTATCCACGAAAGTGATTAATCTACCTCTTTGGAATTATAGCTTAGCAATGTGTTCTCTGTTCCATGAAATTAAAATGCAGTTGCTCTGCCAATAGTCTTTACTATTTATGGAATAGTTATCCTTCCACTATATGCATCTTTTTTTCAAGATGAGGCAGATAGAAGTTACACTCCCAATTATTTTATGGTTGACTTTCTCCTCTTGATATTATAGAACAAACTTAATAATTGGATTCTATTAAATCCAACCCTAACCCATTTTGCAGGATAAGTATCTTCAGAAAGTCCATTTTTCTCGTCATTCCATTCCACTTCCAAAATTTATGCAGGTATGACAAAATAAACTTATAAAATACTCCTAGAACTCTCTTTCTTTCTTTGTTCTTTTTATTCCGTGTCACTTAGCTATTGCTAAATGCTTGGACAATAAATTATGGTGAAACAGATAGATGACCTCAATAGTGCCAAGCAAGCAGGTGTCCTTTTTAATTATCCTCTCATGATAAAGAGCAAAAGACTGGCTTATGATGGCCGTGGCAATGCTGTTGCCAACAGCGAGGAGGAACTGTCTTCTGCAGTAGATGGTAACTAAAGCATTCTTTTTGTTTAGTTCAACTTAATGGTCTTGTAGTTTTATAGCTATCAGTTTTCTAATTAACCCATGGCATCTAATTTTTTTTTCAATCTCTTCCTGCACGTTACTGTCTACAGATTATCTTTTATTACAATAGTACTATCATCTTAACATAAAATGCCCTATTTTGGCCATTTTTCAAGCCCTGTATACGTGGACTTTCATAAATATAACTACAGAAAATTAGACACCATTTTTTATGATCAAAGCTCCTCTAAATTAACAGTGCTTGGAATACCTTGGCGTCTTTAGACATTGAATGCAGTTTTTAGTTTTGTGCTTTGCTTGCAGGTGTCGGTATATTTTAAGTTGTGTGGATAATGTACTAGTGAAACTGAAACTGACATGGAAATATGCGAGGCATATATAGATCATGATGGAATTCATGTTGGACATTAATTTGATGTAGATCCAATATTTGCTGTTTTGGTTCTCGATTATTAAAAATTCATTAACTCATCTAAGTCTGAGGTACATTCTTCTTTCCAGCTCTTGGAGGGTATGATCGTGGTCTGTATGTAGAGAAATGGGCACCATTTGTAAAGGTGAGCATTTTTTTTTGTATAAATACTAAAATGCTTAATGGAGAAAGCAAAATGATTCAAATCTTTCTTATTAGTATTTTCTAATCTAGTTCATATAATTCAGGAACTATCTGTCATTGTGGTGAGAGGAAGAGATAATTCTGTCGTGTGTTACCCTGTTGTTGAAACTATTCATAGGTGAGCTACCTGATTCAATACTTGACACAATTTTCTCTTTGTTCCTATTTGGGTATGACTAAGTCTTGTTATCCTAGTAATCTCTCGTGCTTACTAAGATTACATTTCTGTTATAGGGAAAACATTTGCCATATTGTCAAATCACCTGCTGATGTGTCATGGAAGATTATGAAGCTTGCAACTGATGTTGCATTTAGGGCTGTTAGCTCATTAGAAGGTGCTGGTGTATTTGCAGTTGAGTTATTTTTGACAGCAGATGGTCAGGTTGTACACTGATTTCTTGCGTGGGCTTGAACCTTCTTTAAATAGCTTTCCCAGATGCATAAACATAACTGCTTTCAGACTGATGTTTATGTACTCTTATAGACTCATGTGTTTGAATTATCAGATCTTATTGAATGAAGTGGCTCCTAGACCTCATAACAGTGGACATCACACAATTGAGTCTTGCTATACTTCACAATATGAGCAGCATTTGCGGGCTGTAGTTGGTCTTCCCCTTGGTGATCCGTCAATGAAAGCACCTGCGGCTATCATGTACAATATACTAGGTGAAGATGAGGTGATTAACATGTTCTTTCTCAGTTCTTGCCATTTCGGCTTTTTCTGCGCAAATTATTTGCTAGCATTAGAAGTATTTGTGGCTAATGGTGCATGAATGCCTACCAGCTATAGTAAATGCTTAATGCTCTGCCCCTGCCTCTCCAATTCTTGTTTTAAGTCCAATTGCAGTACTGATATGTTAGAGATAGATGAGGGCAGAATTGATTTCTCCCTGAGAGTCATCATGGATTTACTGCTTTTCTTTTGGAGGTTGGACAATGATGTTACTTGGGCTTGACTGTAAGCAGTTGGAGTATCTATTTTCCTGTTTGCTTTTTAGTTATTATGGGTCAGGTGAAAGTGAGATTTTTTCAGTCTGCCAGATGAGCTAAATTATGTGCATATTTGTTATTATCTTCATATTACAGCCTTAAAAAAGCAGTTGCTCTGTGTGAAAATACTCTGTTCCCTTAATTGCTTGTCTAAAAGCAGATCGGTTGTTTGGTTAATTCTTTCATGCTGCCCTAATGTTACACTCCTTTAATGAAGAACACAATGTATAGAAGTTGGTAATGGCATATAGAATTGTGAAATTTTATGAACAACAATTTTTTTAGGACTAAGATGTAGTGTAAAATTTGTGTAATACCAGTGCTTAGTTTGGGGGAGACTGGAGCTATGTGAAGTTAGTGCTTATAAGTAATGGTTTCTATAACATCTATAGGGAATCTTGCTGGATAAGGACAATGGTTACAGTGAATGCTCAACCAATCAGATTGGGGAAAGATTTAGATTTATTTAAGGGTGTTACCTAGTCAGCTTAAGATCCGTATTCAATTCTTCTCTCGTGTTCCCAGACTTTACATAGTGATCTCCACTAACATGTTACTTAAATTTGAAAAGATATGATTTTCTGACCGATTATCTGTCCTGTCAATGGGAGCTTTTTGTGCATTTGATGGACCTGTCTACAATGTACCATATCATTGACAGGCTTTTGTTATTGATTATCTGTTAGTAACGATATAAACATGTTTTGATTAAACCTGTTACTTCTGCATACAGGGGGAACCAGGTTTCCTTTTGGCTCATCAACTTATTGGGAGGGCATTGGGGATACCAGGGGCCTCAGTTCATTGGTATGACAAACCAGGTGGGTTTGCTTGAATCACCTCCTTGTTCACCTTATTTGTTTTTATTGATGTAATTTTACATCCTTGGTTTGAAATTTGAATTATCTTTGCAGAAATGCGAAAGCAACGAAAGATGGGTCATATCACTATTGTGGGCCCTTCTGTTGGTGTTGTGAAAGCACGTTTAAGGTCAATGTTGAGAGAAGAAACTGTGGATGGTGAGACTGCAGGTTAGTTGTCGCTGGTGACTGTTGCTATTGAAGGGCTTGAGAGTTGTGTGTGAATTGTAACACGAAGTTGTGACCCAAATTGAAGCAATTTGGATATTTACTAGTGAGAGATTATGTATAGATTGGAACCTGTTAACTGATTATTTTACTGATTTTTGCTTTATTCATGATTTATCTTGGGTATCCTGTGACCAAACCCGTCTTTTATAGAAACCAAACTCCTCAAAATCCATTTCCATTGCAACTAAAATTTTCGTTTCTCCTGTTGTCTTCTCTCACCCTGCTTTATGTTTTCCTGGTTCTTCTCTCTCTCTCTCTCTCTCTGCCATTATTTTGGCTTGGTAACATATTTTATTTATACGACACTTTCTTTCCAAAGGCTGGGTAGACAGTAAACTTGTGAGTTTGCAGTTTTGAGCACCATTTCAGTCACAAATCCTGTTTTGTATTTGTCTGAACCAGTAGATAATGTGCTGATATCTTTCTGCTTGTAGTACTGCCACGCGTAGGTATCATAATGGGCTCTGATTCAGATCTTCCTGTCATGAAGGATGCTGCAAAGATCTTAAGAGAGTTTGATGTGCCTACCGAGGTTAGTTTTCCAGTTTTCAGTCAGTCATGTGGCTGTATGTTTTTTGTGTATGCTAATGACTTGATCAGGCTTTGTACATTCTGACAAGTTGATAAAACTTAAAGATATAGTATAATCGCTGAAACATGTAAAGACGAGTGTAACCTGAAGTAGCATTGGAATATTTTCACATTTGTAGGTGAGGATAGTTTCGGCTCATCGTACCCCTGAATATATGGTTTCTTATGCATCATCTGCTTGGAAACGAGGTATTCAGGTCATTATAGCTGGTGCTGGAGGTGCAGCCCATTTGCCAGGTGGATATCACAGTATTTCGTATAATCCACTAATAATTTGCCAAAAACTCACTGGGGTCTTGTACTTCTGTAGGAATGGTTGCTGCATTGACACCATTACCAGTTATTGGCGTCCCTGTACGTGCTTCTACACTAGATGGGCTGGACTCTCTCTTGTCAATTGTTCAGGTAATTCTCAGACTGATGTTAGGCAGTAGTAGGGATGTTTTTCTAGATGTCATTGAGACTTGTTTTTGGTGTTGAAAGCGGGACTATTTCCGTTTTCCTAAGCGGACAGGTCAGTGTTGCGAGTAAAGTGTTGGATACACAACACCATTTCTTTTGAAGCTGAAGTTGATGATGAAAAGTGACTTCTTCATTGTTCATAAGGGCCTTCTTTCTTTCCAATTTGTGGTTCCCTATATGGATGGGTTATCCAAGGTGGAACCTAGTGGGTTGTTACTCTTAAAGGGACACTATACGGTATCTATTTCTCGTTAGTAATATAGTTTATATGATATATTTTTTCTTTGATCTCATTTTGGTCAGTCTGATACTATTTTCTTGATTGTTGATCAGCACAAACTGAAATCATACTTTTTCGTGTGCTTGCTAGATGCCAAGGGGTGTACCAGTTGCAACTGTTGCAATAAATAATGCCACAAATGCTGGTCTATTGGCAGTGAGGATATTGGGGGTTCGTGATTTGAATCTACAAACGAGGTTGGGCATTTCTGCACTTTTCATCCCTTCACATACACAGAACACAGGAATCTTGAGGAAAATTTAAAAGATTTAGTGGTAGATAATAACTTCTTTGTTAATTGTGTGCAAGTGGTTAAATTTATGAAACAAGTTCATCTTGGTGCTTCATTTTGTAGAATGGCCCAATACCTAGAAGACAGAAGAGACGAGGTGTTGGCGAAGGGAGAAAAGCTCGAGGAAGGGGGCTGGGAGGATTACTTGAATTCTCAGAGATAAACAGCTAACAATACCGTGTCTTACAAGAATCCATGCGCTTGCAGTAAACATAAACCAGACTCAACCTGACATTTGTTATTGCGTGTTTGGAATTGCAATGGAGGAACCAAATTTTCTGCACGGGAGATAGCAGTTAGTGTACTCAATTTGTTTCATGATAGTATTTTTGGGGGTTTTTAGTGTCTTTGGGGGCTTGCGGAACATAGTATATGATGGCATTTAGTCTGAGGCTGGATTTTTTTTTATTATTATTTTTTTAATATTGAATCACCAATCTTCAGTTGCAATTGCTTAGGATTTAGATACAATTTGGCCTACGGTAAACTACTCGACTTCAATGGGCTAAAGTACAATTGCTTAGGATTAAGTGATAAAGTCATCCCAGGTAGCAATAACAGGACTTTGTAGTAGTGAAATCTCCGCAACTCTTTGATGGGAAGGGAGTTAATGGCGATGTGTAAGAATAACCTACTCCCAGTTCTCGCACTTGGAGGAATTAAGGGGGAGGAAAGGTTCGGGCAAAGTTTATATTATTTGAGCCCCAAAATGCGAAATCTCGTACTTATATGCCCTCTAATTAAAAGCAAATGAAAAGTTTCGAAAGCTAATTTTGCTAAAATCATATAAGATATTGTGTTAAAGCGGCCAGACTGCTGCAATTAGCTGAAGATGCACTTTGTCATGAGCGTATGTATATGATTTGCTGAACTAAACTAATCACTAGCTTAAAAATAGAGGCACTGATACAATGCATTAAAAGCTGGAATTATACGATAAAAGAAAACTCTGTCATGCTTTTAAGGTATCATTCGCTCGCAATTGCGATAGTAATTTTAAACTTGGAGTTTTGAAATTGTTACAATTTAACGATAAAAAATAAACAATTATCTCGTCGTCATCTAACGATAAAAATTTGAGAGTACAATACCTAAAAGGTACATTTGAATCTCCTCCCCATAAATAAAGCCTCCCTCCAACCGGAGAAAAGAAAATTGAAAGAAATTTAACCTTGCACCGACGCCAATTCTAACCATGGTATTAGCTATCATGCCTAGTGACTCGAAAAAACTAGCCAATAACTTTTTCTAATTATAGTTGTGTGTGTCACAGTAGTTGGCGCTACTACTGTTTCTTGTTTACATTAGTTTCGATTCGTTTTACCAATTCATGTCAACATAAGCTGGCTTAGATGGTAAAAATAAGTCATTTTCTCACAAAAGATTGTATGTATGTTAGAATCTCTCTGAAATTGTTAACATTTCGTACACAAACATCCCTTGCAGCTAATGACTGCCAGTCAATTGCAGCCCTTGCAGCTTATAATGTGATGTCGTCGTTCAAAGAGGAGAAAGGAACAGGTCTGATTTTGTTACCAGACCGCCATTCCTCTTTCCCTGGAATGCTTTTCCTCCTCTCGTCGTTCAAAGAGGAGAAAAGGAAGAAAGTCTGATTTTGTTGCTAGACCACCGTTGCTCTTTCCTTGGAAATTCTTTCCTCCTCTCCCATAGCCATAGTTTCTGTTCTTAATTTCTAATGCTTGTACAATTGTATGTATAGCCTGTGATTCGGGCTAGACTTGTTCAATATCAAAATTACTACGCCGGGACCGAGTCCATTATTAAGACAGGTCAAGGGTTTTTTTTTTTCTTTTAATTTGATTGATTTATTCGTTCTTTTTGCGGCAAGAGATTTTGTCCAACATTGAATATTAGATTCATGCCATAGCTCATCTAATATATTAATGAGGTTACCTACGGTTTAGGATTCTCATATTGCCAGTCGCTTCAGACATGCGAGGTCGACTTAACTATTGTGGATCAAAACAAATATTGACTAGAAATTGGACCAGCTTCCAATTTTCCGCACACTTTTTTTTTTTTTTTTCTCACGTAGAGAAAACACCAAAGAGACTAGGAATATATATATATATATATATATATATATATATATATTTCAATAACTGATTCTTGATGCTCTAACGTAATTCCCTTGATTGAGATCGACTCACAAAATGTCAACATTTACTTATTCAAGTGGTAGAAAATGGTGTCTGCAGATGAATGGAAAAAAAATATTATATAACTAATTTTTGCAAAAAAAGAAAAATAAAAATAAAATTTTTTTTTTTGCTCACATCATATCATAAATTAGATCACAAAATAAGCTGCGATATTAGTCTGAATTTTTTTTTTTAAGTTTTTGTAAAAAAAAAAAAGTGTACCGTAATAATTTAATGTATGTAAAATAAAAAGAGATGATTTAAAAATACATTTACATAAAATGTTAAGTTAGAAAATAGCAATCCAATGCGGCAAACCCCGTGCATGTTTTAGCTCAAAGAACTGGGGCCTCTATAGATTTTTATCTTATTGTATTATTGCTTTCGAAAAGAGTGACAGCAGGCAAATAGTTATTTAATTTTCCTTAAACTCGCTGTTACAAGAATGAGACAATTTTATTTTTTTATTTTTTTATTTTTTTTTTTTTGGGAAGCAAGAATGAGACTGATTCTAATGTTTGATAGAATAATGCACGACCTGACCGGGTTGATTTTCAAGTTCAAGCATTTATCTATCGATCGCGTGTTTTCCAGTTTGGACCATTACTTGTCAATCTTCAAAGCGCGGTTCGTCAGTCAACTCCCTGCACTTTACACCAAAGGCTTCTAACTTTGCCTGAATGAATTCTCAATATCCATGTGTGGGTATATATATATATGTCCCTCGTACTCCTGTGATCGTCATTAATTCCAAGCCCCAAAACACATCCCAATCACTTGCTCTTTTCAGAAAATCCTAACTAAACATTTCCTCTGACGACACGAGGAGAGTAGAAGATCATCATCAAGAGTAATATCACAGCAGGAAAAAGACAGATAGATCTCCTGGTTTTGCTCGTCAGAATTAAAAGATGGCAGCTTCCCAACGTACTTTCTTCTCGCAGAAAACATGCATTTTGATGGGTGTAACGTTGTTCATTACACTAATCAGTTTTCAAGGAGTTGGAGCAATGAGGCCGCTACAGGGAGATTTGTGGTTCAAGAAAAACCTCATTATTCAATCTCTTCCCAAGGGCGGTCCTGTGGGCAATCCCAGTTCGAATCCTTGCACATTCATTCCCGGAACCAGCCACGGACGTTGTACTTTGGCTCAAAATGAAGTGAACTCTGGTGCCCATGCGGCCGGGAATGCACCCCAGGCCATTCCAGAGGTCGTGGTTCAATCCGGAACAGCTTCCAAACAGCACGGTCCTGATCCTGATCATTCAAAGAAAGATCAATCAAGTTCTTGATCAGCTTTCCCAATCATAAAGATATTTGACAATAACTTTTTAAAAATATCAGAGTAAATTTTGTAAAGACTCTCGAATGTAGATGCTGACGGACATGGTTTCCAGTTTGGGCTCCAGACACTTTTTCTTTTTTTTTTTTTAAAAAAAAAAAAAAAAAAAAACTTGATTCATTTGTACTCGAGGAACAACCATCGATGATCCACAGGTGTGGTTGGGTTGGGTAACCTCAAGAGATAACCGTTACTTTCGCATTTTGTATTGATGTTTGATGCTGTATTATTACTCTTTTATAAACAAACTAAACAATTCGTTCGTTTAATTATTTTATCCCATGAAGATGCATGATTTTCCCGCATGTATCCATGTGTAGGTAGTTTATTTGCTTTCTTCCTTCTTCCACCACAACTCCGCGACGTAATCTTCCCAGACATATTTGGAATAATCTTGGATCACTTTGCCTGGATATATATCTGGGACAAACTGCAAATAGGCACCAGTCACAAATTCAATTACTACTACTATTTGCAAACTGTTGACACATTATATTATTATGTCTTTTATATATATGTATGTATATATGCAAATGGGAAGGAAGCCGCATTCAAGAATTTTAGCACACATTTTATTGCAGACTGCAGAGAATGCAGCCATGCCATAGACGACAAAAAAAATGTTTAAGAAACACACAGGAACACCTGATCTGGCGGTCAATTGCTTGCGTTGTTGCCTTCACTACTATTATACTCGAGGGTTCCCGTCTGATAGAGGCTCACCAAGTTTAATTGTGTGTCGTGTTTTGACTGTACAACTTTCAAGCCAATGATCTAATAGTTCCCAAAAGAGACTTGGTCCATCATCCATCCATCTTCTTATTTGCTTTTCAAGTTTGATCAAGTAAATTCACAAAATCATCTTGGACATCTTTATGTTTCTTTGCCAAAGCACTAGACTGGGAAGTTTGGAAATCAAAGGTGAGACGGCCTGAAGTTCATCAATAATGCATTCATATGACCGACCGATAGGACCGGGTACGAGCGAGCAAAATTTGAACCGCGATTTTACTCCAATCCTCACTGCATATGCTTTTGGTCCATGATGAACAGTACTCACCAAAATGAGGAGGAATGGGAGGGTCAAAATGAATTAATTACTGTCCTAGGCCCCAAGGGAAGTGTCCCTTTGTCAAGTCACATGGCAAGTGCAGGCAAAATAAGAAAAGAGAGGAAAAAAAAAAAATTTACAAGTACATATAATTGCAATTTACCAGGCAAAGCTGGGGGCAAAATGCCGCGCCTGTCTTGCACGAAAATAGAAAGTTGTGCTACATGTGAATTTTGTCATAATGCACCCCTTTACCTAATATCCCACCAAAAACTCCCTTCCCTTGCCTTTGCTCGGTTGTCAAATTCCTCAATTCTTTTGGCACCCACTTCAATGAAGTCAGGCCACAATTTTTGGACCCATTCTTCCTTCCCCATCACAATACTACTGTTCACATGATACCATCCTCGAAAGCAAGCAAGAAAAGGCTAGCTTGCTTGCCTGCCCTTTTTGGTTCTTCGGCCTCTCCATGCCAACATTCTGATTAATTTCAAGGTGGGATCTTGCAAAATTTTAAGTCCCCGGGGGGGGGGGGGGGCGAGGAATATGCGTAGATTTGAATTTTTCTAGTAAGCCTGCGGGAAAAGTAGCTAATCGTAAATGAGTTTTTGATGTGATGAGTGTGATGACGATTAGAACTAGGAACTTATCTGAGGAATGATAAGTTGGGTTTGGTGCAAGTTTAGTTCCTAAGAAAGAAACGTATTGAATAAATATATAGGAAGTTAATGATAGATAGTAACGGTTATTGAAATTTCTGTGAGTAACTAATTATTATTTTTTTTTCAAAATTTTGCAAGACGCAAAAATGCAAGGAAATTTTTCAATATTCTGAACAGGCAAACATGCATGAAAGAAAAAATAACTAATAATTTTTTCTTCACTTTTCTCGCAC